TATTAGTCTTAGGAAAAAAATATTTTTTTTTTTTTATTCATTAAAGAGACACTATTAACATCTTATATTATGTATAGTCAAAAAAAAATTATATATCCTTTATATATGCATCATATTGTAATAAAATATTTATTTATGTTATAATAAATTTATCTAAAATCTTATAAACATATGCAATGAATCAATACGTAATAGTATATATTATAAGTATACATTATGAAATAATGTATTATAATTGTTATAAACGAAATATATAACAAAAATAATGAATGATTTCCTAATATAATGTAATAATTTCCAATAATATGTAGGATAATTCTAATGCCATACATATATAATTCATAAAAAATATATATTATTATATATTCAACATAAGGGATAATAATGATTTAATATTTTATTTATATTATATTTATTCTATATATGGAAGTATAATTATATTTTTTATATATATTATCTTCATAATATTGAGAATAATTTTTTTAAGTACTGCTATTAGTTGTGTACAGTTCTTCTTTATTTGACATACAGAAAATTGGTATATTCAATATTAATCTATAATTTCATGATAAATTTTAAGTAAAACATATATTATAATAAATGAAAAATAACATTTATCTCATAATTATTTAATTATATATATGTAAATGGCTTAATGTAATGGTGGATTTTCCACTTAATAATATAAAATAGCCAATATAAATTTAATTGAAATTATAATAAAAATTTTAAAATCAAATTGCGTGTGCAAATATATATAAATGGTTTATATACTTAAATATTCTTAAATTATTAAATTCTATATTAATGAATACGTAATTACCCTATACAGTATACACAATTATTTTAAATTATAATCAATCATTTCTTTAACCTTCTAATATTTTAATATACATTTATAAGTGAAATACTACATTACGAACCACAAAATATATATATTTTTATTAATCGTGTATATATTTTTAATAAAATATATATCTTAATATATAGAAATAAGTTTTTTTTATTGTTTAATAAATTTAACACGATAGAATATTATATTCTTTTAATTTTGAGGTATATATTATTTTTTTTAATAGAAAAAGATAAAATTGTGATTTAAGAAACTAAATTATTTATTTTTTCTTTCTTTTCTGTGCAAATAGATCAAAAAATATGTTATATATCACAAATTATTTGACCCTATATTTTTGGGTATACATAAGTAATGATAAATAAAATAGAAATCTTACTTTTATCATTTTAATAATTTAAAAACTAAATGTGATATATCTTCATATCATATGAATTTATTTTTTGAAAATTTATATTTCAGTTTCTTATGCTGAATTATTTTATTTTAGTATTTCATATATATATCTTATCTGAAATTATAATAATGGATGTACTCTTTAATTATTGTAATATGATTAAATGTGTTATTATATATGTATATATTTTTCTATGATAACTATACTAATTTGTAAAATAAAATATAATTTTTTTTTATGGTATTATATTCTTTTCATTTTAGAGATATATGCTATGTTTTTTTTTCCATATATAAAGAAATTATGGATAAAAATAAAGGTAATGTAAGTGAAATTTAGAAGACACAGTGTAGTAGAATTAATTTAACTTTACATGATGTTCCTAGAGTTAATGAAAGTACGTGCCTCTATTATATGTACTATTTAGATGATATTTTACATATAATATATAAATCATTATTAGAACCTCCTGTAAATAATTTTTTTTTGGATATTTCCTACCTACAATAATATAAATAATGTTGAAAATTACATTAAAATTTACGATACTCTTCTTATATATACGTTATTCTGGAGAACACAAACGCAATATATTCAGTGAATCATTAAATGGAGGTTTTACGTAAGTATTCTGAAATATGTACATCATCCGAAAAAATAATAAAGAAAAAAATTACATATATACCAAATTTAATAAATGATCAAAATCTTCATGATATTGTAATCATTATTAAAAATAAAAACAATGAAGAATTTCAAACACCTGTATGTGAAGAATGAACATTATTAACATGTAAGGAAACTAGCATTACAACTCCAATTGAAATTACATTTGTTGCAACTCTATTAATATTTGTCTTTTCATTCATATTGTATAAGGTAATAACTATATTATTCATATTCATTTACATGTTAATATATTCTAATTATACTATATTAACAAAAAAAGGAAATATTATTAGAAAAAATTTCTTCTTAATGCATATATATATATATATTCTTTTTATATTTATATAATAGTATACAAAATTGTGTTCATGTTTAAATCACAACGAAATGGGATTGAAGAAGGATAGGCATAATGTCCATGATGAATGGAATGAAATACAATCATTAGGAATATCACAAAATATATCAAATGATAATTGATATCAGTTAACATATAAATGAGACTATTATTAGTATTAGTGTATAGTTCAAATAAAATATATTTTATAAATATATCTAAAAAATTTACGTTCAACACATGTCTCTTAATATATTTAAATAAACATGATACAAAAATATTATTTTTGTTTGACATAAATAATATTAACATGGTAAGAATTAAGGGTTTAAATTTTACTTTTAAAAATAAGGGTTTTTTGTTATTGTCCCAGTTTTATAGCTCCTGTTTTTATATTAATGCTTCGAACTATTTTAATGATCATGATTTAGAATTATATTATAATGATTTATTCAATTGTAATAATATTGTAGTTTTTATTTATTTGCATTACATAAAATATGGACATAATAAGTAAATGTTATAACACCTTGTATTATTTATATTATGTAAATATGTCTTAATATCATATAAAAATTTATCTTTTTTATATGTGTATCTTTATTTATTTTTTGAAAATACATTATTATTAGATTAATCGTAAGATTAACCTCATATTATCATAATTCCGTGAATAGAACCATTTATATATATATATATATATATGCATAATTTAGTCCCTATAATATTTGTTATATACACCATTCATATAAAGTTTCTTTGTTTATTAATCCTTGTTTTTATTTCAATAACTTCATATAAACATTTAATAAAGCTATGAGCGTACATCATTAAGATAATATATTGCTCATAAGAATGAATTTACATCTAATTTTTTTTTTTTAGAACATATTACCCATAATTTTATATTAAATATTTTGACATATATATCTATTCATTCACATTATTCCGGTATTAATACAATTAAAATTATATTTTATCAATATTATCCGTCAGAGTATGTGTTTGTGAAATAATATATATATCATTGTATAAATAATAAAGAAAATATATATTAGAATTTTTACTCTTATTTCATAATACAAAAT